CATTCCCCGTTGAAATGTGAATTGCCGGCTGGATATGTTTAATCAAAATTTACAGAGGTTTCCACTCTAAAATTTACATTTTGTACCCGCGATTTCCCGTTTTTTTTAATCCTCTTGAAATTTGCATGAAATAAAGGATTGAATTACACATTTCATTTTTAATAATTTAAACCGGTTTTGTTTTATAAATTTTACAATTCCTAATTTCAAATATTTTAAATCAAATAAAAAATTCTTTCATTATTTACTACTAAATTAAATACATAGACTTTTGTTAGGATCGAAGTCAAAATATTTGAATATTAAAAATTACCATAATGACGGAAAAATTTAATTTTTTAAAAATAATTTAAGTGATATTATAAAAAGTGATTCGTAATAATATTATTCATCGTTCGTGACTATTTATTAAATAATTTCATTTTTTTTTTAACGTTTGAAATATAAATTTAAAAGAAAACCATCGGCGCATGTGATAAATTGTAAAATATTGGACAAAGGGGCATTATTTTTGTTTCATGTTGCGTGAATTTCCCATTTCGCCACACGTGCAAAGAAGCGCAAAATCAATAAGGCAGAAGCATATTTTTTTGGCAACGGCCATTCGTCGCACGGCAAACAAGGGACACCCTCTCTTTCTCTCGGCGGCGTGTCTTCAAAATCAAATTTTGACATATTGGGGTGTCTTGCTCGAGCCGACGGAGGTAAATCGCTGGAATTTTTCTTCTTCGTAAAATGCACTTTGCTCTCCGCTAACAATGAGGAGACGAGAAGCGGGGGACGCTGCGAAATTTATATATAAAGAAAGAAACTCAAGAGGGCGACTCTCAAAGCATAAAAATAATGAAGTTAACTTTTGATTAGATTCCGAAATGAGAGTTTCCCGTCGCCGAAACTTATTAAGTTTTAATTTCCCATTTTTTTAATTTACGCCCCTCGTCGGTTCGAAGAGCGCCGCATTGTTTTCAGCGGAGAATTCCATGCCTCACAAAACAAACCAATTATCTCGCTGCGCAAACTTGGGTCGAACGAAAAACGGCCGGTTTATTTTCTCAGTGAAATCTGTGCGGTTAATAACAAGCCCTGAATAAACAAACTCGTAAAAAAGGCTCTGCGTCTGGCTGGTCGGCGATAGCAAGCGAAAGCCGTTTCGTCGTCAGTTCAAATAACACTTTGGCCCCGCGCGCGTAAATCCACGCGGCAATCAAAAGTTAATAAGTCCGTCGAGCAGCAGACTGTCAGGGACAGGTGCACCGGACGTCCATTCAAACGCTTAACGCGCCACTTCGGCCGGCTTTCAACGAAGAAGCAAAGTAAATTGGACCCGTGCTGGTACCATTAGCCGGGCAAAAATTATTAGGGGGTTGCAAATGGGAGGTAGGGGGTGGAGGAGGGGCGGATGGGCCGAAGGAAGAACGCAATTTATTTGCGGCTAAACGAAGGGTGCGTTTTTTGATAGAGACGCCACAGCTGCAGCGCGATTGCACCAAGTAGTGCAATGGGCCAAGTGCATGCACAAGGGGGTGAGTGTGGGGGGGGGGAGGGTGGAAGTATCTTGATTGCAGGCAGGGAAAGTACACACACACACATATAAATACGTCGTATCTTTCCTTCTCTCGGCAGGTTCGCGCCAAGTGAAAAATAGCGAGCGTCGCGATAATCTATTTGGAACGACCGTTACGGATTACTTTCATTTGTCACTCGCAGCCCATTTCCTTTTGTGTGCGTGCACTTCCGGGAAACGGTGTTTTTCCTTGATTACGTGTTTGATAAGGACCGGAGCCAAATAAATTGAGTTGCATCAACAAAAAAAGTTGACAGAGCGAAAGGGAAAAAAATAAATAACTGGGGAATTTCTGCTCCAGCGGGTCGCGCGCAGGAAATTTACGGAAGTTCAGCGCCTCTTTTTTACTCCTCCCGAATCGCGTTTCTTTCGCTGCGTGCACCCTCGGAAACTGCAAAGCGTGGCATTTTAAATGCCTTTCGTCAGCATTTGTAAATAATAAATGTGCTCTTTGCGCTCCTTAAAGAGGTTTATATACACCCCCCGTAATTAGCTACCAAACAAAGTTCACTTTGCAGAGAGATGTCTTTGATGCAAATTTATGGTTTTCCTCGCACTTCCTCCTACTCGGATTATAAAGCTTTGTGCAAATAAAATTAAAGTGATAAATTTTAATGCCTTTTAATCCCTCAGCAAAGTCGACATTTTTATTTTGCCACCACCAGACCACCAAAAGTTTGTTAGAAGCGGACTAATAATTTTGGGTAAAAATAAATTTATGGAATCTTTTTAATCACACATATTTAAATTATATTTACATTTCGAATAATTTAAATTGAAAAATTATAAGGTTAAATAAAAAATGTGAATTTTCCGTTTTTTCTAGACTTTAAAACTTTTTATGCTTGACAAACTTCCAATAAATAGCCACCGCTTCGTTACGTATGCAAATTCCGGTCTAGGGAAGTTGAAATGCGCGCCCTCGAGTATGTAAACCGAAAAATGCAATAACCTCCTAGGCAAATCGGCAATTTCCGATCACAAAATTTTCCCAAGCGGAGGTCTTTTGTCAAATTTCCGCTCGCTGCCTGCATTATAATGCATTGCAGCGGCGCCCTTGTCTCTCTCTTACTCTGCGTGGCACGCAGGAATGCACCTTCGGGATTGAGACGCGTGCCGGCTCCCCTTCTTTATATGTAAAAAAGCATTCAATCAGTTGAAAGGCCGCAGAAAATAAATTCCCCGAAAACGAGGCACCCGCCGCACAATAAATAAATCTAACAAAGTGGCGCCGCTTTCACCCCTTTTGGTATGCACCCCGCACAAGTAAAGGTCCCTCTATCTTTTCGCCACAAAAGAAAAATGTCACTTCTCCACAATGGGGAGCCAATCGAAAAGCGATACACGTGCCGGTGCCAAAAAGAAAGAAAGAAAGAAAAACGAGACGTGCCCGGCAGACAGATGGGCAGACGCGAAAGTGCATCAAGGTTAGCCAGAGTCAAAGGGTTAAGTATTATAAGTTGAATTGTTGCGCCGCCGCCGCCTGCACAGAGATCGATATGTGAATGTCACCCATGCGCAATTTGGCTCCGGTGTTTGCGTATGTATTATTATTGCAATCTACTCTTGACATACTGCAGCCTCTGCACTTGCTTACTTTCTCCTCGGAGAGCCTCTCTCGCTGAGAGGGGTGTATGTGCGCGCGCCCCTATTAAAACACACCCTTTGTAGTGAGAGAGATGTAAATGCAACCGAGACGCGCGGCGCCGACAGCGAGCAACCCTCTCGGGGCGAAATTGTCTGGAATCAGCAAGTTTCTCGCCGTACGCTCTAATCTAATCGAAATAATATTCTGCCAAGATGCAATCACCTTCCCGCTGCGCTCTCCTTCGTTAGAGGCATATTTTTATTTTATATTCTCCGAGTTGCGGTCCGACTTTCAGAAACTATACATATAGAGGGGTGAGTTGGGAAATCCAACAAGTGAGGGCGTTTGTAATATAACTTTTTATTAAGTGTTAAAACTTGTAGGGGAGGCGGAATTTGTCGAGAGAGCGTGACTTGCGAAATTCGATATTGATTGTCCATATAATAATGATTCACCGTACCAAAGGGTAATGATTGTTTTACAAAATGTTGAATGCCGCGCTTTTGTAGCGCTGCCCCTTTCCCTTTTTGCCGTGATTAAACTTGGGTTGCGACCGACGCTGAATACAAACGAGATTTTTATGCAGGACCGTTAAAAAAGTTTGGACCGGCAAATTGATTAAATAAATTCTTGGTACAAACGAGGCCGAAGGGGCCGGTTGATTTTTAAAACTTTGAACGGAATCAACTAAATTGGCTACAAAAAAGCAGGGGAAAATTTTGTTTTCAAACAGCGTCAGCACAAAACAATTTAGAACTTTATTCAGGCACTTTCCAAAAAATATAACAATGTGAAAATTATATGCAGAAAAATATATTTTTGAAAATCAATTCTTTGATTTTTATAAATTATTAAATAAAAAAATTAAAAATATGAATGAAAGAGAAATAACATATTTATGTACAAAAACCTACTGAAGAAATTTCCAGTAATTGTTATTTTTGAATGCATCACTTTTGAAATAAATAGTTATGAAAAAAAAAATTTTCAATTTTGAAATGTAGTGATTTAAAAATCAGTTACAATCAAACTCTAATAATTAAATTTTTTTAAATTTACCAAAATAATTCAATTTTTTTTCTTTGCGTATTCGTTTTATGCATAAATAATGGACCGCAATTTTCCACTGAGCACGTACACTTTCTCTGGCAACCTCTTTAAACTTTTTGCTGCAGGAAAAGAGCATCCGGTAGTAATTTGTAAAAAATATGTAAGTTTCGCTCGAGGGACTTCATTGTCAGCGTTTTACGAGTGAGGAGAAGAGCGAGTTCCGGTTCTCTGATAAGATTGCGCGTCCCTCCGGCTCTCGGGTGCAAATGCAACTTTTCTGTACAATTTCGCAATTGGAAACTTTTATTGTGTTTTTTATTTTTATGGGAATGGGGCTTTTAAGGTGAGCCGGATAAACCCTGAAAATTGTGTGCTTTAACGACTCGGGCTAGCTGTCTGCGGAAATAACGCTCCGGCGGTTCTGCCATATTATAAAGTGCGAGGCGGAGGCAGCCAGACGGCGCTTCTCCTCCCTATGCACACTTTTCGCCAGTCTGGGCTCGTAAAAGATGCGCGCAAATAAATGCAAACATACACACACACACAGAGTCTGCACGCACCCGGCTCGCCTTTCTCTTTCTTCGGGGCGATAAAACATAAAACAAGCCTGTTTAATGATAATTTTATGTCGCCCGTCGACGAGAGAGAGCGAGAGAGGAGAGCAGAGGCGCATTCACACTTGGGAGGGTTTGAGTGCCGTCTGGCGGCAGTCTCTCTTCTCCAAAGGGGAGCCCGTCTCTCTGCTCTAATCTCCGGCGGCTCTCTTTCTTTCAACTTTCAAGGACTTTATTGGCTCACCTTGATGTGGTACGAGTTGACCTTGTGTCTGGGTAGGATGTTGAACGACGAGAAGTCCTGGCGGCGCGCGAACAAGCCTTTTCCCGACGGGGTCCTGCCAACAGATAATAAAAATCACACGTCGTAAAATCGGCAGTCATTTGGTTTGATTCGATGCCATCGGATTTTATTAAATTAGACGCTCAGGAGTACCTTCTTCTTGGAGAAAGTGTCTGTGCGTCAGCAAAGAAAAGAAGCTCTAACGAGAGGACAATCAAATTGTGGTGACTAAACAACATCAGGCAATCACACTCGGCACTAAAACTGCATCTCTACTGCTACATTACCGTTAGGGGAACGTGATGGGAAGTTCTTCCTCAAGACAGTAAAAAAAATCGAGTGTCTCAGTCAGATTGGAAAGAAAGATCTGACCTTTTAGATAAGACAAAATACCTACCATCTTGTCTGATTGAATGGAAAGTACTGTAAAAACAATTTAATTTGCTTGATTGTGTGTAAACGTCGAATGCAACTTAAAATATGACTAAAATTTAAAAAAAAAAAATGCAGAAATTAGTCATTCGGTAAAATTTAATTTAATCAAATGAAAAATTCATCTCAAGTAACTTTCAATTGAAATAAGTGCATATATGAGTAAAATAAAAATTTTATATAATAATTTACTTTCATAATTACAAAAGAGCAATTATTTTTATACCAATTTAATACTTCATGAGTTGTGATGTATAACAAATTAATCCATGTAAACATTTCATGAAGCTCATAAATAGTAAGAATTACATTATAACGCCTTGAAACTCTTTATTTGCTCAGGACTAACAAAAGAAACACCCTCGTTCATTTTTCCCCTTCATTTGGTTGCATCTCCCGTCTCGGATTTAATTTGAATATTTTAATCACAAGTAGAAAGGAAGTGTTATTTGAGTTAAAAAATGTTTCCTTTATTCTTCCAATTTTTCATTTGCGATCTCAAAGTAAGATTAGAAAGCACTAGCTGCAGTGGATGCACATTCAATTTGCATGAATGCGCTTTTGTTCTCAACCCTTTCCTTTCTCCGAATCTAAATTCAAATCGACAACAAAGGACCATGAATTTGAATTTCACTCGAGCGCTTTACTCAAGGAAAGCTACGAAAATTCTCTTGATCTGTCATGCCCGACGTCGGTGGTAGCAGCTTTCTCTCACTTGTGTAGTTTAGAAATGCAAATCCGTGGGTGACGAGGGCGTAATTCAAGTTCGGACCTCCCGTGGGGCAGCAGCTAGGGAGCTCATTTTTTTCCAAGAACGCTGCTGCACACAGAGATGATATTCATCAAAGTTCAACCCTTCCACTCTCCTAAACAAACGTGCGAGTGTATATATGCAACTGCTGCTGCACCCAGCTCTCAATTTATATTAATGCGATTTGCCTGCATAGAGACAATGCCCTCGCATTAAATATCAAATGAATTCAGGGGGCAATTTCTACCTTCAAAATAAACAGCCGGGCCTATCCAAACACATTTGCAGAATAAACAAATCAACAAAAGCAAAACAAACGCCGCAACCATCAATTACAATCGAGAAAGGGGGTGTTGAACTGCTCCAAGGAGACACACGCGCGAGACTATTTAACTCGAGGGGCTTCTTCTCGCGCGAGAGACAGTGAAAGCTGCTGCTTCTTATATGACAAAACATAACGCGCGCCGGGATTTGGACTGAACTTGTGGAGCGGAAAATCCTCTCAACTGCGGTAAACATTGACGTCTCAGTCAGAATTAATGCAAATGCAATTAACGCGCAGGAGCTAAACAGAACCTAATTGAAATCGAAAGTTGGTAAAACCGCATCATTTAATTAGAAACTGCTGTCGAGGGCGCGCGCCGGCTGGCAGCCTGATGGTTTCAAACTCGCAGCAGCAGTTGTATCAAAACAAAAGCCGCGTATAGGCAAGGGTGGGGTGTAATTATTTCGGAATGTTCATACACCCGAAATTACTTGTTTCGAAACTAGAATAGATTGTTCGTAATAAGCCAATAATTAACCGAAATGTACATTTCATGAGAGCGTCGGCTGGAATTGGCCGCGCCGAAGGGACCGATTTTGATGGATCTCCCAGAGTTAATTAATCCTCATTGTTGTCAAGTCTTGAATATATTAGTTTGCAAAACAAAAATATTGTACGGCGGCAGCGGGCGGAGAAGTTTGTTGCCGAGAGATGCATAATTAAATTGGATTTCAAAAGACGGTGGCCACCCGGGGCTTAAATTAATTGTTCTTGAAGAGACACGCCGGCACCTTCTTGAATAAGACGTGAGGTGCATTAAAGGACCGTCGAAAATCAAGCAGTTGATAAAGCTGCTCGTCTTATTTCTTTGTTAGAGTGATACGTGCTGTAGAAAAGGAGTGAAGCGATGTAAAAACAGGCCTTAAGAAGACCGTTGTGTTTTAAAGCAATTGTAGGAATTCATGTCATCTTCAACATTCAAAACAATATCATTGATGAGTTGTTTTTATTGACTTGAGATAATATTTGTTTATAAAAGGTCGAGATAAACACTAATGAACTCAAATTTTATAATACAAATTTACTAACTGGAAATTATTAATTTTAAAAATATTTAAAAAAAATCTGATACCATATACTTTAAGAGATTCGCTTTTAAAATAAATTCAAGCATTTCTATTTTGTTTTAAATTCAAATTAAAAAATAATGCAAAATTATTAATTTAAAACTCCAGTTGAAAGCCCTGATAGGAATTACGGATTGATTTAAAAAAAAAGTAAATAAATATCAGACATTATATAATGAGATTAATTTGTTGTTAATGTTTTGCAAAAGAGTTATTCATGCCTCGTCACTGATGCATAACTACAATAAATTTAGTTCTTAGCGACAGGAAGTTAATTTTTCGTCCCAAAAGAAATGGCTTTTAACAACAAACCGACTGAGTAATGAATGAGCTCTCATTAAAATTATAATCGAGAGAAAAAATAATGTTCCCCCGGCGCAGCTTTTCACGGGTGGAAAGCTTTTAAGCGCCGCGAGTTCAAATAATACAATTTGATGCAAACGTCATTAAGAGCGGCGGAAATAAAAAAGCGTAGCAAAAATTAAGCAAACAGCAGGCAGCCGGCAATTTATTGCGTATGAAATTTTCATTTGCTGGAAAATGGAAATGCGGAGAAGCAAAGCAAACAACGGTACCGACGAGAGAGAAAAAAGTATATAAAAAAATAATCGCGGATTCAAGGATGGCCTCTCTCTCTCTAACGACAGAATTGGAAACGACGAGAGAGAGTGAGGGAATATAAAAAAATACACGTGCAATTTTAATGAGGGCACGAACGAAGTCAGTTGAGAGTAAAATTACTGCGCCAATTGCGAATTCATTAATTAAACAACACAGCGCTTTTTTGAATTTGCTCATCCACTCCGTGCAGAAAAAGTGCTCTCGAGTGCGCCTACTGTGCAAATACACGCCTGCAAATTACATTGTCGTAATTGAAACGGAAAACATTTACGTAAGTACGTATACGTACTCTCTTTTTTCCTCCATCCAGAAATAAAAAAGCAGGCCCGGGCGTGCACGGGCAGACAATGGCCTAATGAATTCCGCCGCCGTCGATGCCAGTTATTTATGCAGCGCGCACAACATTACACGGAGCAGGCGAAATCATGCATATCGATTTTTGTTAATTAAATCATTTGGCGGGCATCCTACTCCTCTTTATTGTCTGTCGCTGGATTTGTGACAAAAGACAAACGCCGGCGCGACAGCACGTGCACCGGATTAAACGTGCGGACGTACGTGTGCCGTGCACGGTCTGTGTGTATGTGAATGTGTATTCAGCTGTGTTCGTCGAAAATCAGTCGGGGCTCTCAAATCACCAACTTTCACCTTTCAATGCATTTTTGAATACAGGAGAGGGAGTTTTCAACAATTTTTTTTTTATATTTTTTCTTGCAAATTTTGAAATCAATTTTTAACTATCTCGATAGATATCTAAAAAATTTAAATTTTGTCTAAATATTTCAAAATGTTTAGTCTATAATAAATTTTGAAATTTTGTTGTATTAATATAATTTGTAAATTTTCTAATAATTTGTAAATTTTTGAATGGAGAAAAAAATTAATTTAACAAGTTCAGACTGTTTTTGGGCCGCAAATATAAAGAGCGGACAAACTCTTTTGAGTTAGGCTTCCCGCCAGTCATGTCTGCAAAGAAATTGCCTAGTTTAACAAAATTCTATTCAAGCAAACTATGGCAGATGCCTCAAGATATTTTCCACTTCAGAAATTAAGAAGTTGTGAAGTGGCCTTATATCTTTTATAATTATCGTCAAAATATAAAGAATTTATTTTGTAAAAGAATCACATAAAACATTCAATTATATTTAATTTCCAATAAAATTTGTAAATCGGCTGAATTTCTTATCAATTTTAACTGTATATCATCAATTATTATAAATAAGGCTGGGCGAAATGTTAAAAGATAGCCCCCAAGCGTACCCCTTTGACATTATAGAAATTTCTCAAATAAATTTTCTTACAGAAAAACTTCTCATTGACCTTGTGTGGTCATTCTTGTTCCAAATGTCAAACTGCCCACTTGACCTTTCCACCAGAAAACAACTTTCCCTCGCCCGAAATGCCAATTTGGGAATGCAAAACCGAGATTTAACCAGCGCCAAAGGTCACTCGCCCGCAAAAATAATTATTAATTATCCCTCTAGCTCTGTTCACAGTGGCAATTCAAAATTGAACGCCAATAACAACCGGAGCGATATTCCAACACAATTAAAAGTTTTTGTCGAAGCGCCGTTTAATTGAATACTCGAATGAAAATAGGATCCCCCCCTCTTTCAGTGGCTAAATCCAATTAGAGAGGCATGTTTCATATTTCGCACGCAAAAATCAAAACGCTGTCTGCATGTGTTGTTTTGATTTAGTGGAACCGCACCGCATTTTTATGACACACGCGCCGACTATTCGCAAATCCCCCTTCCAATTTAAAACGGCCAGAAACGCGTGTAATTGGGAAATTTGCAAATGTTTAAGAGCCCCAGGTGGCGCGACTGCCGCGTGCTGTAATACATTATTATTTGTTA